CCGGCTTCGTTCCCTCTGAGGCGACGGAGAGCGGGAGCTGGGCCCGGCCCCCCGGGAGAGGTGCTGAGGGGACTCCCCGGGACCGAGAGAACGGCTGGGGGCCTTGAGGGGTTTTTTTAGCATTTATTTGTAAGCGAGGCGAGGTTTTAAACTTGCAAAGTGGAAATGCTGTGTTATTTTGGTCACTAAGCTGCTGCCTTGCCGGTAAGAGCTGCAAACTAATTGTTTCTTTAGTGTTAGCGATGCTCCCTGTCCGTAGCGTGTGAGTATAGTTGTAGAATGAGAACGCTGCTTCCTATTTTTGGTGTTAAATTCACCTTTTTTGCGGCTGAGCCGCCTTCCCCTGCCCTCCGAACCTGTTGTTCTTAGGCTCTCTGAGGAGATCAGACACTGCGTTGACTTCAAATCCAGTTGCAGGTCAGGAAGCCACTGTTAAGGCAGAGACAGCTGCTTGCTTTCTGTCAAAAACATCTTCTGCCTTCACAAAACTTAGCTGGCTCCTCATCCTTGTTGCCCGGGGCGAGCAGATTTCCTTCTTCCCCCGACACAACAGGGGTTTGAAATACGAGTGTGGTGTAATCTGGTTCAACTGGCAGCCAAAGGAAATCTCAGCAATTCGATTATTCCCAGTACTGTGTGGAATTGGGGAGGGTGGTGATAGTGTTGGGGCTTCTGGGCTTCAAAGTGCCCCTCGTTATTGTCAGAGTCCTAGCTTTTTCTTCATTTTCCCACCCCGTATTTAAACTCACAGTTGGATCATTCTATGTCCAGTGGCTGTTTGGAGCTCGAAAGACTAATGTTGTGAAAGAGCCGGTGAGAGCTGTTACCCTCGGAAGAGGCCCCAAGAATCACTGGCTGTGTGTCTGAATGGCTGCTGAAAAAAGCTTCGATACACGCGCATGACTGCTGCTGCTTAGTTATGGGGTTGGTTTGGGTTTGGTTTTTTTTTTTTTTTGTTGGGTAAGTCAGCTTCACCTGTAACTGCAGAGGTGTTGGTGAGCTTGGTCACACTGCGTACGCATGTGCCTGGGAAAATGTTTTGGTTCCAGACAACCCAGTATGTTAGGTTGCAGTTAGATTAACGGCTTGATGTCTCAGCATATAAGTACCTGCAAGTTTGCCTTGCTCCGCTGCTATGGCTCCACACCCTCTCTGTCAAGAGAACAGGAAAGGTGAAGCGGCTCTCGCCCGTGCTGTTTCGCAGCTATACACGTTGGCAGATTCACGTTGGCGGAGCGCTCCGGTGTGGATACGGCCTGTGTTGATATGCTGTTGGAGGGAGTTCCTGCTGGGGTGTTTTGCTGTTTTGCCTTTTAATCGCTTCTCTCACAGCAAGCAGAGTTGTGAGACTATTTCTTTGCAGGAATAGATGCCTCTGTACACTTCATGTATGACACCAAAGGTATAATGACAAATACATGTTTTCAGCCAGGGTGATACAGTTAGGTCAGCAGAAGTCAGGTCTGTTCCACCAGGGTCAAAGCAGCATGGTAGTAACTGGATACAGTTGTAGTAAGTGAGATTTATTGTAGGAGGACTTTTACGATTCCTGCTAAAGGTTTGATACGTTGTTACTGTTAAATATTTCAAGGCATACGTAGACTTTACTGTAGGTACTATTTTTTTCACAGGAGGTAATGTGGAGTGCTGGTACTGGTTTTCTGTTACGAGTGGTTTGTGCTGTTTCAGGAAAAGCAGGCAACTCTTTGCCCTCCCTTATGTCACTTGAGTTAGCAGGACTTCGGCTTGTGGTGAAAGATGCTGGAGCTAAACCCATTAGATGGAAAATAGGAAGTTAGTATTAATTAATAGGTGAAGCTAATCATGTGACATTGAAGCTGTCTGAGGAAGTGGGAATTAACACTTCATGATGTGTTTCTAAATGTCATTCTTAATTGTATCACCAGGATTGCTCACCATCTGTCAGCCAGGTACGAAGGTTATTTTTACATGTACCGAGGATATCAGTAAGAACATGAATGTGCTAATTCTGTTTGGGGCAGACGCTTTTCAAAAAAAGATTGAGTTAAGGTAAACTGTGTGTTGTTTTCACAGATGTGGCCCTTGTTTAAGGATAGCCCCAGCTTTCAATGCTCTGAGTAACAAATATCCCCAGGCAACTTTTTTGGAAGTAGACGTGCATCAGTGCCAGGTGGGTATTCAAAAACATATTTTCAGTTGTAAGAGAGCAGGTAATGTACTGAATGGGAAACTTGAGGAAACATTGTTCAGGCAGTGGGCTAAGAGTGTATCCTGTGGCTGTTGACACGTTTGGTGAATCGCAAATAGCCATATTGTGAAATCCTCCAAAATCAGGACATGCACAGAGATGTGAACAAACACCACTTTTATTTAGAAAGGTATTCTCGCAGTTACCACTGCGATGTCCTGCACTTAAGCAGCATACAGGCAGTTCAGCAGTTCCTGCTGCTTGTGCTATTTAGGTAATACTGTTAAATGTAGAAGATAGCACCAGTATGAATTAAAAAGAGTAAGTCTTGCCAAACCAATACTGGCGTAATTATTGCACAACATGAAAAATGCAGTAAACTGATAGGACGAGTGGGTCTAGATTCCTCTCAAGTACTACTGAATTGTTTTTAACAAACAACAGTGTTTCAGGTGAGCTATTGATTGACTTAAGGGTCGTTAACAAAAATTAGTGATGGTATGTCGAAAGGAAGTGTCTTACTACAAATTATAAGGGAGAGAGATGAACATCAGAGCGGTAACAATGTTTGCAAATGACGCTAAATCATGGAAAGTTTTGGAAAAACTGCTGTGGGTGCATCACAGGTAGAAATCAACTGGACTTCACCTTCTACAGCAGCAGGCTGCAATTCCTGGGTGCACGTGAATGTGGCTTGGGAGAGGAAGGAATGCAGGTGTAAAGAAAGCTTGTGAAATAGAAGTGCTAAATTAAGCCGCCCTCCACTTTCGAGAGCAAATGAGTAATATGAGTTTTATGGTGTACCAGCAAATCTACCGACAATGTGAAGTCCATTCAAAGAATGCCTGAGTGTGTAAAGGATTAGGAGGATCTGAAGAATTTAAATGAACTTCGAACTGTTGTCTGAGGTAAAGCTGGTTATGAAACAACAAATATTGTTTGTGATGTTTGAGGTGATGTAGCTTGATCAATATCTAGTGTGTGTGTGTTCTTATCTAGGTGGAGCAAGCTAAAGTTTCTGTCGAATATTGGTAATACTCTGTTAGGTAACACTTGTAACTAATTTATGCATTCCAGGGAACAGCTGCTACCAATAATATATCAGCAACACCGACATTTCTGTTTTTCCGAAACAAAGTGCGAATCGACCAGTATCAAGGAGCAGATGCTGTAGGTTTAGAAGAAAAAATTAAACAGCACCTGGAGAATGATCCTGGAAACAGTGAAGATACAGATATCCCAAAAGGATATGTATGCATCTCTTATCTTAAGATATCTTTTTTTAATGTTTGCATAACTTGAACGTTTCAAAAAATATCTGTTGCTTTCTAAATGTACTCTACTTCAGGCAAAACTGCAAGTTCCCCGTGGCTTTGAGAAGATCACTTGTCTGGGTTTCCTTTTTCAGACAAAATTAAAAAAATGCACATGTACATATTTAGAAAGTATGGTTATAATACTGTAAAATGTTTTAAGAAACATCTCCACGCATAGCCCTTAGTCATTAAAATAATGAATTTAATGTTTTATGATGAACTTCTTGCTGCAGCTGCTCATTCTGCTTCTTTTGTCTTCTCAGACATCTCAACCTCTCTTCCCCAAACCTTTTTTAAAGTGTAAAAATGTCCATGGGAAAATAAATTGTTACACATGGTTGTCAAAAATGCTCTAGTTGTTCCTTAAAAAATCCTCTCTGTTTTTGTGGTGGTAGGTTCATTTGGGGTTTTCCTTTTTTTCTTCTTGCTCCTTACCCTTTCTTTAATCCTCTTTATTTCATCTCTTAAAAGAGAGAGAGGGAGAGATTCTGTTGCCAAAGGAATTAACCTTCATAATAGTTCAGCTCCATCTTCCTCTATAGCAGCTTGCCCTGAAAATAGGATGCCTTTGGGAGAATATTGCTGGATAAACGGTATCTCATGATATATTTTCTTTTGCCTGATTGCTAATGTTTGCAAAAGCTGATGGTGCTACAAAGTGTTCTCCTTAGATTTCCTCTTGCCTGTAAAAGAATGACAAGGATATAAAAATATGTAAAGTAAAAAATGTCACAGGAATACTTGGAAAAGATGATGTGCTTGGTCTGAGAGGCGTACAAGAATTGCTTCTTGCTGAATATGAATTTGCTTTAAATTTCAATGTTTAATGCCTATCACTTCACTTCTGTAGGGGAACTGTGTATCACTCCAGTAACAGCTGATCAGGCATTCTCAGATAATGTAAACTAAGTAAATAACTTGAAACTCTTTAGTAATTTGTAAAAAAAAGAAAAGTGACCATTTCTAAATACATGCTCTCAGACTGAATGGGGTTTTAAACCTTGCATCAAAATCTCTCATAACTAAAACTTGGTTTTAATGGGTTTTTGGAAGGATTTTAAAAGGGATATTCACGAACAGGTTGGGGTTTTTTTCAGCTGTTGCATGATTTGCCCCCCATCTTCTAGGTAAATGAAAACTTGGTAGGGTTACTTGAATTTTTGGCCAAAATTCCAATAAGGGAGCAATCCGCTTAGAAATATTGGTGCTCTCAGGAAATTATTTTCACCATGTTTGCATGTTTTCATGTTACCTCAAGGCAATTGTGCGTTGCAAATCGTAAGCCTGTCTGACAGCTGTACTAACAAACACATGTAAATGAGAACTCTAATGTGACAAAACACTTTCCTAGAGCTGTCGTCTTAGGTGGTATTCTCCAAGCAATCCTTGGTGTAATATTACTCCTTAAATGAGATTGTCTATTGTTCCACCACAAGTATAAACACAGTTATGTGGTGTATTGCATTTCGCCTAAATCGTATGTCACAGTTCAGTGCTTAGCTAGTTGCTGTCGTGTGCACGTTCCTTTGCATTAGCACATCTAATACGTTAAACTTAGCTGTGATGAGTGTCTGTAGAACCCAAAGTTGTGTTGTAAACGCAAACCCAGGTTTTTTGGAGGTTAAGCGTTTTAAACTCATAGCTAGCCATATCCTATCAGGCAAATGTAAGCAGGGTGCAAACCCAGCTGAATACTTGTCATTTAAATAACCTGCCAGGGCATAGGTCACTTCAATTTCTCGCAGTTCAGCTAGTTGTTAACTGTTCCACGGCATGCATTGCACTTTATATGGGAACGCTTACGTTTGTAATTATTGTGAAATCCCCGGTGGAACTGTGGGAAGGTCAAAAGACAAAGGTTCAGCTTGTTTAGGTTTGGAGCCCTAAACACACTGAAAATCATTCAAGTAGCAAGTTTTGGTCTGCTTAGATAGATTGGTTTGGAGATGAATGCACCATCTTCTACAAAAAGTTAATCTTGCAGCAGGCAGTGTCTTACCCCTACAGATCAAGCCCTGAGTGTGTTCAGGGCTGTGTGAGCCAAGCAGGAATTCCATTTGACCCAGAAGTGCCAGGCTGAAATGCAACTTAGGATATGCTCGACCCAAACTGGACTGCCATGGGCTCCAGCAAAGCATCCTCATCCTCTTGGCACAGCTGTGTGATTCTCCTCATTTCTTGCCTTGTATCCACGGCGTGTGCGAGCTGCAAGCTAAGCCTTTGTTTGGATGTTGGGAGGGGGAAAGTATTTTTTGCTCAGAATAATGTAGTTGCAAGGGCTGAGGGAAATACAACAAAGGACTTGTATCCTCTCAGCAGCCTGGTTTGGGGTTCTGTTTGTACCATGAAGCTGTAGGCTGAGCAGTTGCATGCAGCAATTTTCAAGTTAGTGTGCCCTTTTTTTCCCCAAGGGTGGTATATTATTCTTTGGCACCTAATATATGCCTTTAAGAAGGGTTTTTTGGATTGTCGTCCTAAAAGTTACTGTAGCTTTTTGTTCGGACTGTTCTATGATCGCACACTGATCTTGAATTTGTACTGTTGATACTCTTGTCTGCAGGCCTTAAGATAGGAAATCCTTGATTTTTTTTTTTTTTTTTTTTTAAATTTTTTAGCCTGGCTTATTGTAATTCAGTTGGACTTGGTTTACTTTAGTTGCAGGCAAAAAATTCTGGTTATCTGGAAACTGATACAGATTATTCTGCCTCTGCAGTAATACCACCTTCTAAATGGCTTGGAGCATGGATAGGGGTCTGCTTTAACCTGAGAATGTGTGTATATGTTAAAGCTTTTAGTTGGACCCTTTGCAAAAGAGCTGAGCAATAACACAAACTGGTTCCTGGTGAACAGCGTAGCTTTTATTTTCTATTGTTCTGTGTTTTTACCAAAGTATATGGAGAAAGGAGTAGGAAAAGTTTTCATAAAGTTAATTTGTATACAGTGCTGAAAAAGAAGTAAAATAAAGACTAGCTTTGCATATAAAGCTTGGAAGGAGCTCTAGTGGTGGTCTTTTCATTTGTTCTGCCAAAGTGTAGTATATTTTTGGGGAGGCCCATTTCTGTGGTGCGCTGCAACTTGTGATGCTGTAGTCTTGCTTATCAAAAGTGTATGAGAACATTCTCACTGTGCCCAATTTCTTATTCTCAGAATGGCAAGAATGTGTTCCGGGGGTGCAGGATTTTGAATGGAGGGGGAAATGTCATTCAGTTACAAACAGGATACATCCGAGTACTATAGTATTCGTAGGTTTTGTTTGCCATGTCTTTTGATATAAACCCCTGAGATTTCATGCGTGTCTTGTTATTTTAATCTGTTGAATGAAGAATTTCATTCATTCCAATGCTTACTAATCCCAGATGAGTTCATGGCACACTTATCATGCACTCAGCAACGCTCTTGCTTTTACTTTCAGATGGATTTAATGCCATTTATCAATAAAGCCGGCTGTGAATGTCTTAATGAGAGCGACGAGCACGGATTTGATAATTGTTTACGTAAAGACTCTACCTACTTGGAATCAGACTGTGACGAGCAGGTACAGTAGATACTTTTAAGTGAAATATTTTTGATGATGGTCTGGTCTGCAAGCATTTTTAAGAACTTATCTACTTTATATTGTTATGGTAGTATAAGTGAGAGTGGGAGATGGTAATAGGATATAAGTAAAGTCAGTGTACAGAGGTCGTTGTAGCATTTCCAGTTTCACATCCCTTCATGTATAGAAAAAATGCCAAGCAGAGTACCATTTGCTGGTATTTTAAAGTGGCAGAGTGCCTGTGTGGAATACAGTGCAGGGAAGTACTTAACTATTTCAGAGCTCAGACTTATTTCTGGTTAATTATTGTGCTGTGTTTGGTTTTAAGAATGAAGAAAACGGTGTTTAACAGCAACTTTTTTCTCCACAGCTGCTTATTACTGTAGCTTTTAGTCAACCTGTCAAGCTTTATTCTATGAAACTTCAGGGGCCAGATAATGGTGAGTGAAGTATCTGTTTAATCATACCTTGGAAACCAAAGCTTTGCCCATGTTTAACTGAATTTTCTAAAAATGGCACTGTTGTCCCTGAAACCTTTTACCTTCTGAGAGTCCCACAGCAGCTTTGCTGAATTTGTTGTAAATGAATTGCATAACAAATGGTCTCATTCATTTCTCACTGACCTCCTGAATGGGTATTTGGTATGACACAAATATAAATATTTATTATAGTTTGATGTGCTGCAGAGAGAAACTTACATTTAATTCAAGAATTAATGTGAGAGCTACTGAAGGGTATAGCTTAGATTTTATGGTAACTTGGTTTACATTATAAAATTACATAAAATGTGCAGGTGTTATATGACACAGCAAAACTGTTATTTTTAGACTTTATTGGAAATTTTTTTTGTGGCATTTTGTCTCTGACACATAGATAAGTAGTGGAACTTTGTGATGTCAGACTGGTGGGTAAGGTACTAGAACTGTAGAAGCTCATGCTTTCAGTGAGGGGCATCCAAAGAGTGTAATAAGCAAGGGCTTCTCGAGCAGCATTTTACATATATTTAAACAATGGAATACTACTCCTATATTTTAACACAGGGCAAGGTCCAAAGTACATAAAAATCTTCATCAACCTTCCTCGATCTATGGATTTTGAAGAAGCAGAAAGAAGTGAACCAACTCAAGCCCTGGAGCTGACACCAGATGATATTAAAGAAGATAGTATTGTCCAGCTTCGCTATGTAAAATTTCAGAATGTTAACAGTGTAACTGTAAGTAAAGTTTCTGTCCTGAGGTCTGTGCAGGCTGAAAACTTCATAGGCTTTTAAAGCGCCGTGCATGTGTGTTGATTCAGCTGCAAATGTTCTTGGTTCCTCCCTGCCCATTGCGTACTGTATGTTTATGCTGAAAGTATTTCATGAATTTAAGGTGACACAAGGCCACGCGCGTACAGTGTCTCTTTTGACCTAGTATGAGACTTAAGGTTCCCTTTCATCTGTTCACGAGCTAGCGTGCTGTTTAATGCAACTTGAGTTCTTGCTAACGACCTTCTTGAAAGGCATCTTGTCTTCATTTGAAGAGTGGAGGAGACAAGGAATCCAGTTTCTGGGTAACCTGATTGCAGCAATGACAGATTTCTCTGAGTATCAAGTGAAGGACTTGCAGTGCCTTTAAGCTCAGTACCTGCTCTCTGTGAGGGTTCTTAAATGCTGCAATCAAAGCACCTTTGTCTTTGAATGAGCTCTTGGATTCTCTTGCTGTAAGAGACTTTCCACAGGTTTCACATAGGGTTTTTTGACTTGAATGCAGGTGCAGTTTTTCCTCTTCCATCTTAAAAATACAGGTTCTAGTGCAGTATGTGCAGTGACTAACTGGCTGCTGGAATTGAGTTATGCTTGGCATCATCCTGGTGCTGCGCCAGCCTTGTTTCTGCAGTATTACATTGACCTGTTTTTCCAATACAACCCCTGGATTCTTTTCTGTGCCAATGCTTTTCATGGTCTGAATTAAGTGTTTGCAAATGTATGGACTTACAGTTGATTGAATTAAACTATATTTTAGTGGGCTGGCCACAGAAATCACCAGCTTATTATTAAAACGCTGATCCACCCTCAATCTTTCCATCATACTTTGTCATCTGTAAGAAGGCTTCTGCTAAATTTCTGAATTACTGTTGTTGGGCTGCGTTTCAGATCAGTTTGCTACTTTCATGTTTAGTGATGTTTTACTAGCAATTATTTTAAATGTAATGGGAGACAAACCTAAATAACTCCTTTTTCATTACTCTTATTTCTGCGGAGTTACCTTTGTGACCAGCTTCACCCTCATAATGAAATGGAGAGCAGTTGCGTAGGCTTATGTTCTACAAAGCTGCACTGATGAGTACAAGTTCTGTATTTTTTCTTTAATAAAATCCTGTGTCGGTTTTAGACAGGATGATGTGCAAACACCAGACAAGCGATAAGGTGATTAAATAGATGTTCCGCTTGTTTGCGCTCTTTGCATGTGGGTGCTGCAGTAGCACTCCCCTAGTTTCCTAGCTAAACCTAGATTCTGTATTTAAGACTTCCCAAAACCGAGATGGCCAGTTACCTTGTCCGCTGCCAGGCTTGTCAGTGCAGGTGATGAAGTTCTGCTGGCTTACATAGTCCTGTGGATAAAAAAAAAAAAAAAAATCTTCCATTTGGTTCCTATTCAGCCGGAGGAGGCACAGTTGTCATATACACAAATTGTCCTGCTTTTCTGCTGTGTATAAACAGAAATACTTGCTGAACATTTCCGTGTCAGTACTAGCAAGTTCATACTTCGTTTATATACATCACTGCTAGCTTTGTTAGTGAACTTACCTGGGTTTTTTAGTTATTAATTCTATACCCGGTAGTTTCTAATCCATATAATTCATCTCTAATGCTGCTTTTCCCCATTTTTTTTGTGCTTCAAAACTTGTATTATTACTGAGACAGATTCTCTGAACACGTTGCAGGTCACCTCTGGTTTGGTCCTTGACACGCTCTTCTGTTTCTTTCTGCCTGAAGAGTGCTTTCTTCAGCATTTCAACCCTCGCCTTCCGTGCATCTTGTTTGTATAGGGAAATACGTGGTCTTCAACTACAGTGAAGCTGCTTGGAGGGCTGCATGTCTGTACCAGTCTAGATCAGCAGTCTGTCTTGCTTATCACACACTTGTGAGCATCCAGTGTCACAAAATTTTAGAACTATAGGGCAAGCGTGTAGTGATGCATACCCTGCAGCATTTGGTGGTGCAGGCCATTTCTGAATCAGAAAGGGCATCTTTGTAGATACTGGCTGTGGCTTGTGGGAGGGGTGTGATGGGAGCTGTTCCCTGCCCCCATGTTGTCCTCCTTCGCCTTTTCTTCCTCTCCTCCTGGTGCTGCTACTCGCTTTTTTCTCAATTCTTCCTTTTCCCATGCTCACAGTAAAGTATGGAAATATCCACAAATACCTCGTTGCTCTTCTAACTCCCAGTTTCTTACTAATACTTCATCATGCAAAAAATTGTTCTTTCATTTGTCCACTTCAAAAAAATGTAGTGGTTCCAGCAATAATTCCTGAGTTCATATTTCAAAAGAAGCTTGATACTTGTTTGAAACTCTAAAATAACTGCATAGATCTGGTATTTGTGCTGTAAAACACACAGTTATGCAAGCTGGAGTAGTGAACTACACATGAATAGTCTTAGTAGCTTCAGCAAGTGTAGTTAAATTGATATTTAACTTCATTTCGAGTCAACCTCCAGTGAATAGTGACTACTTAGATCCTGTTTTTGCTTGCTGCATGTGGTCTTGGCTTGGAAGGGGAAGCTGGGAAAATCCAAGCTGTGTGGGGTTTTTAACAAACTACCAGGAAAACAACAGCATTCTGTGTAATCGTTGTTTAAAGTAAGACGACAGTAGCTTCTCTAAAGGCTAGAGAGGCCTTTATAATTGGAAAAAGTGTTAATTTGGTTAGTTCAGAAATCTTGGGCACCTAATGTTTTTACATATTAATTCAGGGATGGACAGTTTAACTCTTGTGCTTGCTTGGTTTTTTTTAGTTGTTTGTCCAATCCAATCATGGTGATGAAGAGACAACAAGAATTACATACTTCACGTTTATTGGAACTCCAGTCCAAGCAACAAATATGAATGACTTCAAGCGAGTGAGTCCTCTTTCTTAAAAGCACTTTTGAATGTTTTTAAACCAACTCAAAAATGGGCTGATGGAACAAATACACTTGGTTTTTACTACAGTTCCACACCTTAAAGTAGTTTTGGCATCCAAAAGAAAATGCATAGCTTTGGTCTTGCTTACAAGTTTTTGTTCATCAGCGTTGTAAAAATAACTGATAAAAATGTATATATGAAAATTTGAGGGACTGTCAAGTTATATACACTGTAGACAATGTAGGGGGTTTTAAACAGCCGTGAGATTGATGTCTTGATTTAGAAACTTGCTTTCTGATGGTGTTCAGGAAGTAGAGAAGCAATTGCATGTACAAATTAAACTCCTGGTGATTGACTTGACTTCTACTTTGAAGGATCTTATCCCCTGGGCGACATTAAGCTTGAGATCTGAAAAATGTTCGGTCACAAGGTGTCTGTTATATTAAACGTACCTGTGTTTTAAAGAGGACATGAAGAAGCAAACAACTTGTTACAGTGTGACTGCAGATGCACGAGTGCTGAACAATAGGGCGCTCTCAAATCTGGATTTTTTTTTTTTTTTGAGAATGTGAAATGGGTTTGAAAGGATTGAAACTTTAAAGCTACTGACAACTTTTTAAAAAACGTAGTAAGTCTTTTTAAGATAAACTGCTTTAAAACCTAGTAGCCTTTGTAAAAGGGCAAATGCTGCTGTAACATCTGCCTACAAACTGTTGTGTAGGTCACCAATAACATTGAAAGCACCACTGAATTTACTGTACAAATAACCTATCACTTCAGAAGGTTAAAAGCACTAATGCTCGCCAACATGTCTTGTACTTGGAATTTTTAATGTCAAAACTTGATCTTAACTGCTACATGTGAAACTTAGTATCTTTGCGGGTAATAATTAAGCTAATTAATAGGCGTTTAACAGGTTTTGCTGCCTCTCATTGGAACTTGAAGTCACTGAAAAAGTTGTTCTAATGTACAAAAATTAACCAGATATCAATTTTAGACCTTCCTAAATGGCACTTCTAATCCTCCCAGAACTAGAAATGTTAATTGTTTTACAGTCTGCTTACATTTGTTGGTTTATACAGCTTTTTTTGTCAGTACTTATGGTATTAGGGCATTCCCTGCAATGAGTTGTGCAATTGCTGTTTTAACATCCCTAATCTGCAGTACTTCCTGGTATTGTTGTGAGGGGGATGATCTCTGTCTCGCTTTCAGTTCTCTGTAAACTCCATGAATTAGTTTTGCTTTCAACAGTACTGAAGGCTTGTTTTCAACACGCGCACTCTTTAAACCTGACCTTCTGACTGTTAAAATAGTGTTGTTGGTTTTTTTTTTTTTAATTGATAGTCCTGGTTGGGTGCACTTGGTAAAGCAATTCAGGGTTTTTTTTGTAGAATGTTACATGGGTTTTAGACTAATGCTGAGCCTGCACAACATGTTTCCTACAGCATTTCAAGTTGCGCGGGCAAAATGGGAGTTTGGTGGACGCAGTGCTGAAGTACTGCCGTAGCCTGAAGCTGATTGCGGTAACAGTCTGCGCTCCAGTCGCCCTTTGTGTGGGGAGTGGGTGTTTTGATTCACGTGAGCCCTCACACAACCCCATGAAGGCATTAAAAATAGTGTGGGTCTCCAGGCATCTCAGCCCCCTCCTGTAGTGGGAGCGGATTTCCAGACCTCTCTGATCTCGATGCAGCATCGATGTGTGGAAGCTGCTTTACGGCCTGGTCAATGCTATGCCGCTTAACAGTTTTGGTTTCCTTCAAGCTTGCAGGTGAATGTCCTGGCACCGTCAAGGAGTGTGCCTTTGTGTCCTGTGACCTCCCTTTAAATGGAAGGGGAGGGGGCGCAAACCTGCAAGGCTGTGTGTACACCAGCCAGTCCCACGGCGTTAGCGTTGTGCTGGTGACGTTGGGCTGTGAAGGAACTGCTCAGTACAGCCCAAAATAGAGGAGTGGGCGTCACTAGGTTATGAAGTGGCTACTCCTGTCCCAATTTGGAGACTCATCGACACGATACATAGTACTCCTATTTTGCTTCCTGAACATGCAGTTTTAATATTAGGCTGTTAAAATATTTCATCATAACAAATGGGATGTGTAGTCTGGCAGAGTTGCAGTGCTCTTAGGAATTTTAACTTTTGTTTCCTCTCTTCCAGTGATCCTGTCAGTTATGAAACCTTAATATAGCATTGGGCATTAATTATATTTAGGATTGTAGATTAACTGGGAAGCCTTAATTTTCTTTTCATCTCCTTGAGCAGTTACCCACACTACTACTCAGTGCTTTCATCTGTCTTACTCCCTCATCTCAATCTGTCTCTACTGTTCATATTTCTCTTCTAATTATGATAGAAATAGTATTGCAATATGATTAATAAGATGGGCGAATGTGGGGTTTTTTTGTTGTTGTCCCCCCCCGCCCCCATCCCCCGGAGTTTGAGCAGTGCTTGTCAGAATCTGTAAAATATCTTTTTTGGGCGGCTTGAATTAAGAAGTGGACATGAATGTGATTCCAGTCATGATTTTATGATTGATCACATCACTGTTCAGTTCATTGTATGCACGTTCAGCTTCAGAGTAAAAAAATAAAAAAACCACCTTGGTTTGAACGGTTTCTACTAAGGATTGGGATAAGGTATTTTGCCTCCCCGTTGGGGTGGGGTATGAACATGTGCTTTTAGTTATAGCAGCTTCACCACTCAGCAGTTGACTGTTAAGGTGCGTAACTGCAGGTCCCGAGTCCTTCAGAGAGTTGAGGAAAGCTCACGTTTGCTCGTGTGGCGCTCTGCTAACACCAGCGGGGCTGTACGAAGAATTGACCCTTCTTGATCAGGGAGTCAGTTCGTGTGTTCACTATAAATGAGGTGTGGCTCTCAGTACTTAAGCTGTCAGATGGAAAGCTGAAATTCATCTACTCTGAAAAATAACAGACTCATCAGGTGTAGCCAAGTCAGTCCTTCACTAGTGACTTTGCCTCAAGTTACTTTGGACGTAAGTAGAATCACAGAACAGCCCAGGTTGGAAGGGACCTTAAAAGATGACCTGATCCAACCTTTGGTGGGAAAGGGAGCTGAGATGAGCCTATCGAGCACCCTGTCCAACCGCAGCTCACACCTCCAGCGATGGGGACTTGGCCGTGTCCCTGCGGAGGTGGTGTTCCAGTGATTGATCAGTCTCACTGCAAAAGGCTTCTTGCATTCTCTTGCATGTAGTTGGTGTTGCTGGATTGAGTGAGATTGAATGAGTAAAGTTATAAAAGCTGCTTTTGGACTTGGTGCACAACCTGATTTTTTTATCCTCTGGGGAGAAGGAAAGTCTTTGGAGTGATGGAAAAGGAGGACACCAAGGGAAAATTTCTCCTTGGAACTGACTGCAGTGTATAGTGAGTTAAGTGCAGAGTAGTGGGGAAGAGTCCTATTCTGTACCCCGTTTAAATGAAGAGGCCCTCAACAGCAGAGGGTGAATATTCCCTTCCTGTACATATGTAAGATGTTCTGAAATGCTTTTGGAAACACTGTGGTTAAAGGCACGTTTGCTTGTTTTAAAAAATACCCTTAACGCTAGAAGCGTGTTTGCTGCTGTTTCTTGGCCGCAGGGGCTCTGACTTCAGGGGTCTGACTTAAGGCATAACTGATCACGTGAACTTCTGTAGCAGACTGCGTTTGAGTTGTCGTAGATTGCATCTGAGATTTGCTTCTGATGCTCAGAGGTGCTCAGCTGGACCCGCGTGGTTGAGCAGGCAGCTGAAAGCATAGAGGTGCAAGTTGTGTGAGGTTTTTTATTATTGATTGTGAGCTTAGTGCTAGGTAGGTTCCTGTGAGTCTTGTGGTGAACTTGTAACCGTGCTTTTGGTTTTGGAAGAGCATGCAACCGTTGATGTCCACTATAGTTCTTGTTTATTTCTGGTATTAATGTATAAAGCATACTGCTGCTCCGTTTTGAGTCTGGGGCACAGTTGAATAGCAACAGGTTATGGGATATTTTTTGTCCCATCTCGAATGAAAGCTTGCTTTCTACTCAGAACTGCTTATTTGCGCTACGTGCTGCTGCTTTTTTTTTCTTGTAACATTTTGTTTGTTTGTTTTTCAGCTTAACTTCCCATTTCTAAAGAACTAAAAAGGCAGAAGAAATTAAAAAGTAATAATAAGATTGAAGTGGTCTTGCACTACTCCCTTCCTTGCTCCCTCTGCTCATCTAGCACCTCTTTCACCCTTTCCACAATCTCAGCACTGATGCAAGAGCCGCCTTCTCTGCACCTTCTACCATCAGGAAAAGCCTTCTCTACCTTCTGACTCATCAACTCATCTTTCCCCTCCACTCCCAGCTCCAAATCCTACCTTAAACACTGCTCTTTACCTTTCAGTCTTACAAATTTCTGTCCCACTGTTAGCCTGAACTTGACATTTCAAAGGCATACCATACAGTACTTCTACAAATTATTTTCTGTAGCTAATTTTCCAGCCTCTATTGAATTTTGTAAAGCTCTTTGAGACATGGCTGGTGAGATGCTCTACTAAGACCTGACCTTTTTTAGTATTTTAGTGGAGCTTAGCATTGTTCTTTGTTGTGACCCTTCAGTAAGTAGTAGGCAAGCCGGAAGGTGCTGCAAAGCGCTGCTCTGTGTTGTCCCTGTGGTGGCACTGAGCACCTGCTCGGGGAAGACAAGGTGAGGATTTGTACATACGTGGCCTGATTAGGGTTCTCTAGCAGCATCCTGCGAACTGTGCTTGCTTGGCCTCTTTATAGATATTTCAAACAAACAAAACCGACACTGCTCCAGAAGGTTTGGTAATGAAGTGTGTCCTCTCCTGCTCCTGGTAATGAACCATGGAGTTGGTTGTGGTTTTGTCACTCTCGGGCTCTGGACTGATGCTTGGGAAAAAGCCGACCGACTGAAGAAAAACCTGTCTCTTTTGTGGGGGAATTCCAGGCTGTAACCACCACCCTAGAATGCACTAGATGGCAGCTGTTTCTGTAAAGGGAAGGAGAATGGATCTGCTTCTGAGAAAAGGATAAAGACAATTGTTTGGTTTCAGTTTAAAGAGCCCGTTTCCTTTTGGGAAGGTGGAGTGGGATGGGCAGAAAATGGGTGTCTTTGACCTGTGATGACAAAGGATCCACAGCAGTGTGATTGCTTTTCACAGATAATACATATGGGCGAGTTGTCCATTTCTGCCTCAGACTGGTATAGCGATATTTTTCATTGATGTTCCACACTTGCTAACACCTAATCTTTAATATTTTAACTGTGTTTTTTCTTTTTCCTTTTTTTTTTTTTTGCTTGATCTGTGTGTGAACACAGTTTGCTTTGGAAACACACCAAGAATAAATATTGCTTCTTGACAAGTTTAACTGTATTTTTTTTAACTTGATTAATTGGATCTTAATCCAAATGATTGGGCTTCTGATTTTTTTTTTCCTCCTTCTTTCCTCATGTTGTCAGATTGGAATTTTCCTGAGCTTAAGCATTAGGTTGAATTTACAGCTTGGTGAAAAGTTCTGGTCAAGGGTTCCTTGGAGGTGAAAATACTATTTAAAAGTACTTTGTGAAGGTGCTGACTCAGCTGCCCAAAAGCAGCTGGAGAGTGAAAAATTCTCCTCTTGAGGTTTGACAAGAAATGAAAAAAGGGGAAGGATCAGGGAGAATACAGTGGGTCCTCGAGGCTTCCCTAGTTCAGGGCTGTGGGTATTCTGGGGTTTGGGTTTTTAATTTGTTTTGGTTTTCCCCCGAGTTCTGTATTTCACTAATGACTGTAGGAATCTTGTGTGGTATATTGTCATGTAACTCCAGAGGTAATTACCGTATTTGTTGCACCAGTCAACTGGTTAGAATACAAGAAAGGTTTTACTCCTTCATTTTCAGCATTATTACGAACAGTAATGGGAAATTCTATGCTCCATTAGTGTAATCTTCAAATCTGTGTTTATGTGAATTCTGACGACACCTTGTCCAAGCCGTAATTGCTGCTCTCCTCCCGTTAGATGGAATAGATGGAAATGAATTGGGAATCGGTGCCTTGCCCAAGGTCCCTCCTGCAGTTTGAAGTCTGCAACTTCAAGACTTACTTTTTTTTATTTTGGTTTGGCTTTTAAATGGGTATTTTTTTTCAAGGGTCTGCAAGAGCACTAGAATTATGTCTGAACCCTTTCAGAAAAATGACTAAAATGGCATCGTTTTCTGCTCTCAGGATTTTGTGTTCAGTTGTCTTAATGAAGGGGACTGGATACCCTTCTGCAGTGAACCACGCTAACTTTAAACCTGCATAGCGGTATATAGAGTGCTGGAGTTGCACTTGCTGCTGGCTGGCAAATCGACTCGCCAAAGTCTGGTGGCAGTGGTGATCTTTTCAGAAAAGGGAAGCACTAAGCTGCCTCTGATTCCAGGTGGAGTTTGCAGAATTGGAGATTGGAAGGAGACTTGGTAAGGAATAATGTTTTGACAAGGAATAACTGAAAATCAGGTGACTTCCAGATTTCTTTATAGTTTGGGCCGCATTATAAGGTAAACGTTCTCAGCGAGGCACGTGGCCAGGATGCCAAGGGAAATGAACAAACCTATATTTGAGCACCCAGTGGCTCTCTTCCCACTATAATATTTTTATACAGTATATTAAGGTTGAGTGCTCAGTATATAACACATTTTTAAGTGTGGTCTGTTCTGTTGCAGTTACCATCTTCTAACTCTTCTCAAAACGAGACTGGTGCTTTGCTCTCTGTATGAGTACTAAAGACAAGGATTCCTGTGTGTCTTGCATCCCTCTTAACCCTTCAGAGGGATTCACAGCTTCTGCAAGTGCTACAGTAATGCATGCTTAAATGCATTAACTTAGTTGAAAATTCGGTTGCACTTGTTTATTTTGAGACTTAGTTTAAAAAATACTTGGCAGGACTTCTTTGGTTAAACGTTATTTCTGGTTTGTTTTTTTTTTCTTACCAGGTAGTTGGCAAAAAAGGAGAGAGCCACTAGGACGCAGAAGACACTGGAAGGCCTTATTGCAATCAAAGAGATCTTCACTTTTATCTACACCTCCTGGATAATTGCTTGACCATAACCAGAGACTGTCAATCTGTTTCATTTAATGCCATTACCAATAAATCATTGCTTTTGTTGAGATGGAGTTTCCCTAGTGTGTTTCTGTTGTAATCCTCGTACATGTATTTGTAAATAAAATTCATTACTTTTGCCAAGTTTAATTTTGTTATTCTAGTAATTGTGGCTCTTCCTTTACTCCATTTAAACTTCAAAACTCAACTGGCTTATCTTTAGGAACAGAAGACAGAACGCAGCTGGCATTTGCTCAGAGAGGTCAGGGAGACAGACGGCCCTCGGAGGCCATCTGAAAATACAACCCGAGCTCCTTCGTTATAAGGCCGAGGGGAGTTAGGATCGCTGTTCCCACGAGATACAGATGCTTCTCAGATAGGAATAACTTCACCTGTTTGGGAAATTGCCATTTCCCTCCCTCCCACCTCAAAAGCAGAGGAGGAGGAAGCATATTTGAAGTTACCATTCCATTAACTTGAAGATCTGTTGCAAACAGCACACTGATGCGAGCTGTTTGGCACTGAGAATTCTTGAGTCTTTTGAAGGTGGTGTTGTGTGTTTTTTTTTTTTTTTTTTAATATTATTAGAAAACAGTGACCTGGGTTCCCAGGCAGACTCTAGCAAGCTGTGCGGTTAAGGGGATTTAGATGCTTGTGTACCCCACCTGAACGTAAATTCCTTACTTCTTTTACTGGGTGTTTTTCCTCTCTGGATCTTGATAAGGAAATCCTTATTGCAAATACTAATTTTACATCTTAATTGGAATTCCTGTACTACTTTGGTAAATTGTCTTGGAAGTGTGCCCTGAGTAATTTTAATAAATCGGGCATTGATCAGCACCATATACGTCTAATACTGTATAAATTCCCAGTAAAACTTGCTAAGTGTTTTAATTGGCATAATTAATTTCTTTGTAAAGTTAAATTTGTTACATTTCTAATTACCATAAATCCCACTAAGGCTTAAATCCTGTCTAATTGGCATTCCTTCCTTGAACTCAGTCGGGTGGTTCTCTTCTGGCTTGGCAGATTTGTATGTTAATACCAAGTTAACTTTCTGTTAGCGTAGATATTTTCTCCAAACAGAAAACGGGGGATTGTCTAGAAAACTGTTCTGAGAGGCGTTTGGTTTGGGTTTTTTTTGCTGTATGGCTCCATACTGGGGAATGCTCCTCTACCTGTATTGCAGTCGGCGGCATGCGACGATGACTTGGGTTCTTTCATGTTTTGCTTCAGCGGGGGTGTAAGGCATGTAACACTGTATATAGAATGTGAATCACTTTTAAATAGAACTGAGGGCAATATGAATAACTGTTCTTGTTTATAATTTTGTACACTAATTACCTTTGGGGTTATTGTTTAAGTGCCTCATCTTAGTATTGCTTACCTCATGATATTTATACCTGAGCGATTTGATAACCTGGCGATTCTCCTCTTTGTACAAGATCAGTCCCGTTTGTATGGTTTGTGAGACTCTTCTGTGATTTCCTCGGGCGCATGATGCATACCTTCCGTAACGATACCGTGTACATAGATCTCAATAAATGTTGAGAGGTAACTGTCACATGTTGCACTTCATGGAGGAGGGGGTAGGATAGCCCCCAGGGAGCTGCAAACCTGAGGCTGTGCTGCAATACTGTCCCGGCAGGGGCGTACCCTGCCGCGGCCTTCCCGGGTGCGCGTGGGGCTGGCAGGGCGAGCGCTTGGGATGCGCCGGCTTGGCCGGATGGCTTTGAGCGTTGTCCTTAACGGGAAAGGGCGCAGGGAGAAGCTGACCTCATCCGCGACCGATCGGAGTCCCAGAAGGGAACCGTAATGCCGCTTGTCTTCGCAGAGGCTCTGGGAACTGAAACTTGTTGCTAGTCCAGGCTGCAGATGGATGTTCGCTGTCGTTGGGTTAAATCAGCTCCCTGCAGAGTTTGTTGCTTCTTGTGCATCCTGAAGCTGACGTGCGTTTGGGATAGGCGGGTAAAATCCTGCCAAGTGGCATGCGGGCGCAAAACTGCTCTTGTGCTTCCATGCATAAGCGAGGTCCAACCCAGGTTTGAGAGCAGCCCTGTCCCCCTCCAGCCAGCCCAGCCCTCGCTGCTTTGTTTCTGGCAGAGGTTGATCCGTTCAGCTTTCAGCGACGTACTGAGGGGTCGATGAGAGTCGGTGGGTGCGCACGTGTTTACGGCAGATGTCCTAGTTCAGCTGGTAGCTTAAAGAACGGTTTTAACTGGAACCTTCTCTTGCTTCCTTCAGGGTTGACGAGCTGGTCGTGAGGTTGGCTTGGTGTCTTTCAATGCCCAAAGGCTCTGTAGTCGTGGGGCTCCCCGGGACTGAGCGTACTGGGCTGGGGACTGTGTAACAGACTGAATCCACGGTGCCGTACCTTAATTAGAGTATCGCCGTGTACGACGTTCCCGCGCGGGGGCACTGAGATGACTGGGAAGGGGCGCTTGGCTTGCTAGCAGATACTGGGCACCGGGAGCCTTTGATGTCAGCCTGTCTCGCCTTCGTCCTGTACGTTACTTGTGCGTTGAGATTAATAAGCACGTTACTACCAGAGAGCTGTGGGTCTTGATCTAAGGACGGCTAGAGAGAGCAGCTACAGCACCAGGGAAGTTGTTTATTTTCATGTTTATAGTCCTCAATGGTTTTTATTTCTGATAAGAGTTTGAGGTAGTAGAAGACTAACCTCTAAATGTCATTTGGCTTCTCAATTAATGGAGGAAGCGTAAGAAGCAGTAACGGTTGGAAGCTAAAGCCTGAAAAAGTGCTTGTGGCCAAGGAGGCACATCCTTCATCTGCCCGATTCCTTCAGAACAGCGTGTTCCCTCCTCCTGTCATCTTCTCGGTTGGCTGAAGATGCTTGCAACGTTTTGTAGGCACCAGGAGACCTAACATGACGCTTCCTCTTAAAACGGGGTGAGAAGGAAATCGAGAGCACAGTCAGAGGCACTAAAGAAGCAGAAACGCGCAGAGTCCTTTTCCTTAGGTCGGCTTTGCAGCGCTGGGAGCCATGGGACGGCTGGGTGGTGGAATCGGTGGGTGAGGCACCCGGGGCCGCTCTCCCAACGCCTGCTGCAGGCGAGACTTGGTGTCCTGGGCTGGCTAATCCTGCAGAGGGGAAGCGCCCCGGTGGAACCTGCACGCCATTTTGTGGATGTGGTGCCTTTTTAGGTGTCGTATTCAAAATACTTTGTACGTGCAGGGAATATCAGGAGTAATAAAATGAGAGACGACTCTCAGTGTCCAAAGGGTTAACAGCTTGACCTGCAGCAAAAACTTGGAAAAGTTAGGGTTTTTTTTTCTTTTAACTGGATTTAGAAGAGTGTTTTTGAGATGTGCTAATCCGATACCTAGGTACTGACTTGAACATCAGCACCTCGCATAGCGCAACATTCACTTGCCTTGGGGAACGTGAGTATTTACCCCTGACTGCAATTCCTAGCCTACTCTGGCATGAACTCAAGCGCGTTCTCTGCATCTTTACTTCTAGGTTTCTTAAAGATTTGGCTCTAGGACACCAAATACGTCTTTTCCTGCGGCTGAAACTTTGAAGGGCCTTTCTTTTCTCCTCGGGTGGTTCTTACTAACGTGTCTTCCTTCACGCCATGCATTTTTGCATGCGCTGAAAATGAAGCGACTTGCTCTACGCGCAAGTCTCAAACCCAGTATTTCTTACAAAGTTCAGGGGAGCGTTCCCCTGCCTGATGCCGGCACGCTGCGGGGCTGGTTTAGAATGTACAAGGATGTGTAATTTCTTTTTTCCTGTAGCCTTTAATGACAGAACGGTTGTCTTGATACTGACTCTCCCGTAAAGTCCCCGTGAAAACGCTGAATGATGGAATTGGGTTTCTTCTTTAGCGGTGAACAGGAGATGTATGTTGTGCAAAGGACACCGTGGATGCGCTGCTGCTCCCCTGCTCTTCCTCACCGCCGAGCTGAAGGCTCAGCATGCGTTGTGCCTGAAATCAAACAACGTGTGCAAGGTTTTCGTTCAAAAATAAGCACGCACATGCAGAACCACGCCGGGAGGAAGCTGGATCCAGGCTGGCTGTATAAAGAAGCCTTTTGCTGCAACAGTCGGTTAGCGAGCGGTCCGGATCACTCTGTGCTTTATCCTTTGCCCTTAGGTTCTTGTGCTGCTCGCCCGTACCCGGCTGCCATC